ATGGCTTAAAGGTTTATTCTTCTTTTTTAGATTTCTGTATGAATTCTGTACCACCGACATTTGTTTCTAGGACAGTTCAGAGCCTCTTCATGTCCCAAAACCCACTGACTCTTGATAATCCTAGAATTCTCCTTGCAAATTAGCAGGCCAGTAGTCCAGCAGATTGAAAAGAGGAATCAAGTTTCAAACTAACAATCTTTTGGCTAAAGCATGCAGATCTTAAATGGGATTTAAGTTGTGCTAACTGAATGACTATATAAGTATAAACCTCACCTAAGCAAACATGCACGGAGCAGTTTGTACTACCACTTTGCACAGTGGTGATTACTAACCTTGTAGATTTTTTGTATGAGAATACCTATTGAAGTTAAGTAAAATGGGTGCAAAATAAAGTATGAGACAACTCATGGAAAATTGAGAATTTTTTCACCAATGTGTGAGAATGACAGTTTTGTATTTTTAATTTCCTTCACATGATCACCAAATGATAATTCCCTTCATATAAAAGCAGTCATGTTTTCAGTATGGGCTCACTATGGCTCTAGAACTTGGCTAACTGATGTGTGTACAGGGAGATGGTGTGTACAGGGAGAGGGAAGAGAGCTTTATTTGTAACTATCAAGCAACTTTTAGAAAAGCTACAAGGCTGAATCCTTCTTCCTCTTCACTCAGCTTTCCCTCCTTTTGCTAGACCAGTTCCCATATTTCTTAAGTTTTCAGAAGCATTCTTTAAGATCTGTTTTTAAGAAACTTTCATGACTTGGTTGTTGTTTATATAACTGCAATATTCTTTTTTTAAATATTCAAAACTTGCATCGAGGTTTTTTGTGGTTGTGGTTTTTGTATTTTTTTAATACAGATATGAAAATTAATGTAGTTCTGTTTGCATCTTCTTTTTTTTTTCTTTCAGAAGTGGTGTACATGCGTATATCCTCAGGTGGTTTCTATATGTTTTATACATGACATATTTACAATGAACATTATCCTGAAACAACATCTTTATTTTTCACTTTGTAGCTAATTCTTTGATTGTATTTTTACAGCTAAAATAGACCAAGAAAATGAAGATAAGTCACTGACAGAAGCACATAAAAGGTAGGAAAGAACAATGCAGTAAAACCTTTCTTTGAAAAATGTATTTTGGTAGAAGTTTTGCTATATTGGTAGCCAGCTTGATCTTATTTTTCAATAGTGAAAGAAGTGCACTAAGAAAACTAAGTGATATTTATTTATTATCAATTTTAATCTGAAAATTAGGAAAAAAATTGAAGGAATATGGACACACAGCCTACGTTTAGAGAAATATTGTACATGACTCCTGTCTTTTGGAAAATAAATGTACCTTATGTAAAAATTCAGAATATGACATTTGGATTGAGAGAAAACTGTTCATACCACACCAGAATGATGATGATTTGACAGAAACGTAGCATTCCGGAGACAATTATTATTCATTAGGGATCACTTCCTGTGCTTATAAAATGTCTGCTTTAAAATAAAGAATGGAAATCTATTTTTTAATATACGAATGATATGTATAGAATCATAGAATCATTTGATTGCAAAAGACCTTTAAGATCATCAAGCCCAGCCATGCCTATCCACTACTAAACCATGTCTCTATGTACCTCGTCTACCCATCTTTTAAATACCTCCAGGGATGGAGACTCAAACACTTCCCTGGTAGCCTGTTCCAGTGCCTGATAACCCTTTCAGTGAAGAAATTTTTCCTAATATCTAATCTAAACCTTCCCTGGCTCAACTTGAGGCTGTTTCCTCTTATCATATCCCTTGTTACTTGGGAGAAGAGACTGACACCCACGTCCTTTCAGGCAGTTGTAAAGGGGATAAGGTCTCCCCTCAGCCTCCTTTTCTCCAGGCTAAACCATCCCAGTTCCCTCAGCTGTTCCTCATAAGACTTGTGCTCCGGACCCCTCACCAGCTTTGTTGCTCTTCTCTGGCACTCTCACGCTCCAGTGCCAATGTTCTTGTAAGTGAGGGGCCCAAAATTGAACATGGTATTTGAGGTGCAGCCTCAACAGTACTGAGTACAGGGGAAGGATGACTTCCCTGGTCCTGCTGGTCACACTAGTTCTGATACAAGCCAGGATGCTATTGACCCTCTTGGCCACCTGTGCACACTGTTGGCTAATATTCAGTCAGCTGTCAACCAGTACCCCCAGGGCCCTCTCTGCCAAGCAGCTTTCCAGCCAAGCCTGTAGCATGGCATGGGATTGATGTGACCCAAGTGCAGGACCTGGCACTTGGTCTTGTTGAACCTCATACAATTGGCCCTACCCTCAGGTAGATCAACACATCCACCCAGCTTGATGTCATCTGCAAACTTGCTGAGGGTACACTTAATCCCCTCATCCAGGTTGTTCATAAAGATATTAAACAGAACTGGCCCCAGCACTGAGCCCTGGGGAACACCACTTGTGACCAGCTTCCAACTGGTTTTAACTCCATTGACCACAACTCTTTAGGCCTGGCTATCCAGCAAAGAGTATGCCTGTCCAGTACATGGGCATAATTGAATGTGACTTCATTTGTAGAATTGCTAATAAATCTTCAAACAGTTTTTTATGGCAAAAAGCAAAATGCCTCATTAAATTTCATTACAGATGTGTGCAGTTGAGATAGTTTTCAAAATTGGGAACTTCACTGCATTGCACAACTTGTGGTTTCTTCTGATTTTTTGGCAGTATTCTCCAAAAGTTCTCCAGAAACAGTGTTTAAATGGGACAGATTTTTGTCTGTCCCAGGAAAAGACCAAAATATGACACACACCATTTATAGTCCAGATATAGTGAAACTGGCAGTCTGCGTCTGTTTTTCTTTCACTAAAAATAGCATCTTCTTTTTCTACTAGCTACAACTGCCACTGAATATATGCTAATGAATATATATTCTTCATATGTTCCCAGAGTGGGGAAGTCTCTCAATAGGATTTCAGTAAAATATACCACTATAAAAGGCTCTAATTTTTACTATGGTTTGTTAGCTATTCCATGGCCCTGATGCCTTAATTTGCTACTTCCTGTAATGCTGCTACCTGCTGTAATGCCACAGTGCCATCAACGTCTTTCCTGGTACAGCACCACATTGTCTGTCTGTTCCCTCAGGCAATGTCCTAAAGATAGTACCTGAAAAGGAAGCCAAAGGGAGAGTGGATGTTCCTGTGCCACAAGAAGCTCCTTTCTTACTTGTAAGGAGGTGGTGTGTCCTTGGCTGGTACATTGGTGATGCGGGAGCATGATGGAAAAAATGGAACAAAGGGAATATTGCTC